ATGTTGCGTCGGCGAAGGGTCCACTCATGCTGACGTGGGCACGACGGCACCTGGAAGATTTGTATTTCGTTCCGAAATAAACCATTTCATTTGGATCGCAAAAAGCAAATTTGAAACTTTTATAAATCGAAACCAAGCTCTTAATTTTACATTGAAACAACGATTCCTGCAAAATCAATTAGTTTGATAGAGGAATTATTGACAGCCTCTACACAATGCTTCACTCCATGTTTCATCACAACGCGCTGTAAGTCCGTCAATATCCATGTCCTCATTGTTTTCTAGGCGCTTACAAGCTCTTTAGTTTGAAGAGATGGACAAAGTTTTGCAGATTAAGTAAAGACATTGGCGGCCAATGTGTTTTTGCACTGACAGATTCACATTTCTTGAGGGTAGCAAAGGAATGTGTAGTCCAGCGTTGAAAGCACCAGCATTCACTTGACCACGGTCAGAGGTCTCAGAATTTAAAGCTTCTTTAGCACACGAGGAACCCACTCCAAGATAAGCAATCATAATTATTGACTGGCAAGGGTTTACCAACGCCACGAACGGTGCTTCGCCTTCAAGTCATGTTACTGTTTTACTAGGCATCGGGAAGACAGTTGTGCGCATCATCCATAGCCTAGTTTACGTGAAGTCTAAAGGCACCTCGTCCGTGGATTTTGACACAGCAAACCAGAAACTGTTAGGTTGTATAATACACGAGAAAACTGTACGTAATTAAGCAAATAAGGGGCTCTTATACCTAAAGTGTGTGGCCTTTGCATGACAGTTAGCGAGTTTGACGTTGAAGCAAATAGCATGTAGCCTTGTGTCAGCATGTTGCTACTCATTGATTAACAATGTCCACCTTGTGTCAGTTAGTAATACCTTGTGTTTGCCGTGATACGCATTGGTAAAAAACGTAATCAAAGCAGTGGATGAGTTGGATGAAATAAAATTTTGAAAGACCACCCAATATTGATAAGCTTTGAAGCCAGACTTGATGGTTTTTAACGACTGTGTGCGTGTGGCCAGTCACAAATAATGCTCCTTTAATTAGTTTTACTTTTTGTGGAAAATTATAGAGGCGATGCGTTCGTTGACAACATGTTGTCGTTGTTCGACTTGAACAATGACGGCATGCTAACAAAAGGTGAAGCAAAGAAGGCCGCCTCCCAATTCGATATTGGTGCTCGTGAGCTGAAAGTGAGTTTTATTTGCCCAGTTTAAGCCTCCACAAAGAATTTAAAAGAACAGTTCCGGTCTCCAGAAATGGGTTAATTGAGGTTTAATGCTGTGAAATATTTTTACTTAAAACAACTAAACTTTACCCTTGGTATCAGACTTATCAGTTGTAAGGTTAAAAAATCGTGCCTTTTGCTTATATATAATTTTGAATAGTCGTTCTATTGATATAATTGCTGAGTGAGACTTGGGCAAGTGCCTCTAATTACCATAGCATTAAAATTTTACAGGATGTTTACAGAACACTCGGACTCGAAAAAAAAGAACAGAACGTTCCCATCAGTCCTATGAGTGAACAAATAAAGCGCATTTGCGTCGAAAAATTCAAGTAAGTCTGCTTCTTTTGACGAACACGAGGTGACAGTTAATGAACTGAAGCGTTGGCGTTCGAAGCGGTATGTGCTTTCTGGGGTGAACTGTCGCCGCTACCTTTTCCGTGTTGTTCTCTGGGTGGTTGGGGTCTGATTTCTACATTTGAACAAATGGCATTTCCAAAATTAATGAAGACAATAAAACCCCGTCAAGTGAAATCTTTCCGCTTATATGCATTGAAAGTACTTGTTTGCTGCTAGAGAAGAATGACAAAATGAAGAGCTGAAAGTACAATTCAAAGAGCGACTTGGTCGTGCATTATAAGAACGTACTTTAAGGAAAAACCGACAACCTTTTGGGGGGTCCGGATTTTGATATTTACAAAACTTTTGTCTGTTTCAGGAAAGCAGCATTCAAACACTTTTTTGAGTACATGGACCAGGATAAATCAGGGAAAATTTCAATGAGGGAGGTCATGGTGGTCATTCAAGCCTTCAATATGACCGTTCCAACGAGCATTGCAAAGCAAATATTTGATTCTGTGGATTCTAACAAAGACGGGGAAATTGACCTCGACGAGTTTTTGGCATTTCTGGCCTCTGTTAAAGACACGCATTAAATCCCACTGCTACACTCAGCTGCTCGTCGCCAATGCGCGATTGCACCAGCACTATGTCTAGCACTTGCATTAAACTGCTTGCACTCGAGTTCTGTTATGATATTTTAGCACCTTCGTGAAAGTATAACAAATCTGGTAGTTACGTTTCATGCGAAATTTTATATTGTTAAGCCCCACTTAAATATTTTCCAAGGATTACACGCAGAATCTGATTGAAGAATAAGTAGTTAAATTCCCAATAATACCAAAATACAAAATATTTTAAAGTTAATTCTCGCAGGTTTTAAGAACAGCATGCATGAGATCAAAGACGGAAAGTAGGCAGAAATATGTGCTTATGAAACGTGTCCAAGTTAGGCTGCTTAAAAAACTTAATTAGAAATGCACAAAAAAGATCTCTGAAATATAAACGCTACATGATTTTTTTTGCATATACACTTTGTTCAAATGAACTTACTACTGCAGCGTTGGTGGCCGGTTCCGAGGAAAATTCGCTAGCACTCTTGCAGTGATTTCTGAAGTTGTGCCAGGTCGTAATTGGTAATTTCAAACCTTATCCATTAATGAATTACGAAGAACACTGGTAGACGCTGTCTCGTGGGGTAGCCAAGGTTACAGCCGAAATTACCAAGGTTGTGGCAAAGGCGAAATCACGGATGGTGATATTGCGGCAAGTGAGACAATTTTAAGGATGTGTATATTTACCAGCACTGAGACACTTTGTTTGAAGCCAACCCAATAACTACCACCTTAAACACTCCATCGCTTACAAATTTTAACGTGTCTTATCTAACATAATCCTGTACTTATCATAATTTTTTTGGAAAAAGAAACTTTTGAAACAAGGAAACATTTTGACCACAAACGTTGATGAAAAACGCGTTTTGGTTAACGGAAGCCGTTGAATAGACCTTAATCGTTCTGTAGCTTCCTCATTGAA